CATCTCACCCCAGTAAGGATAACAAAATTCAATAGAGCAGCAAACAACAGATGCTGGTGAGGCTGTGGAGAAAACAGAACCCTTATTCACTGTTGGTGGGAGTGTAAAATGGTGCAACCACTATGGAAGACAATATGGTGCTTTCTCAAAAAGTTGGGAATAGAAATACTATTTGATCCAGCAATTCCACTGAGAATATGCCCTAAAGAAACCAGAATTTCCACCCAAGCTGATATATGCACACCTATGTTTATTGTGGCTTTGTTCATAATAGCAAAGAATTGGAAACAATCCAAGTGCCTATCAACAAACAAATGGATAGAGAAGCTGTGATATATTCACACAATGGAATACAATGCAGCATGGAAAAATAAAAACTCATGAAATATAAAATGGGTAACCATGGCGGACAGACATTATGCTGAGTGAAATATCTCAGTCACAAATGGACAAATACTGAATAATGCCACTATTATACAACTGGACTGACATTGGGGTTGGGGATAAAGAAAAGAGGGGATAAATTATGTATACTGCATTGAAACAGATGAGGGAGAGAACTGTTTAAAAGGAATATATGATTAGGTATTATTTGCATGACAAGAGTCCAGAATAAGAGCTGCATAGTAAAGCTGAATGGGGGTTGGGGGTGCGGGGGAAGGGTTATATAGCAATGAAGGAATTTTTTTTTTCTTTTCAAAGAGAAAAGCAAACTAGGGGGAAGAGTGTGTAGGGAAGAAAATGTAAACAATGAATGAATGGAAATCCAAATTCTTTATAAACTTTCACTAAAATCTCAATTTAAAAAAGAGGAAAAAAAAGCATATATGCAAACCCAACATATATGCAAGAGCCAACATCATTCTTTATGGTGAGATACTAAAGGCATTTATCAGGCAAGTATGCCTACTATCACAGCTCCTATTCACTACTGTGCTGGAAGTAATGGCTAGGAAAATAACACAAGAGAGTGGGGGAAAAGAGGCATCCAAATTGATAAAATTGGTAAAACTATCTCTATATGGAGATGAGATGATACTGTACACAGAAATCCCCAAAGACTCAATTTAAAAAAAAAAAAAAAAAAAAAAAAAGCCCAGCACCACAAAACTGTTAGACCTACTAGACCGATTCAATAGAGTGACAGGATACAAGATCAATGTACAAAAATCAGTTGCCTTTCTCTACAGCAACGAAAAAAAGCATGGAAAACAACTAAAGTGAAAAATACCATTTACAATAGCCAACCACAAGATAAAATACATAGGGATAAACCTAACTAGAGACACAAAAGGCCATTATAAGGAAAACTACAAAACACTACAACAAGAAATAGTAAGAGATCCAACTAAATGGGAAAATTTTCCCTGTTCATGGATGTTGTTGTTACATGCTGTCAAGTCGACTCATTTCAACCCTAAGAACAACAGCTCTGAACCTTCCCCTATCCTGGACCAACTTTACTGTCTCTGACACACCTGATCCCACTGCCACAATCACTGGGTCAGTGTATTTTCTTCAGGGTCTTCCTTCCTTGTGCTGATCTTCTACTTTTTTAAGCACATGATGTCCTCTAAGGACTAGCCCTTCCTGACAATATGCCCAAAATATGTAAGATGGAGTTACAAAATCCTTGCCTCCAAGGAGCAACCTAGTTTTACTCTCTCCAGGACAGACCTGTTTGTTCTCTTAGCAGCCCATGGTATACTCATTACTCTTTTTCCAGCATCACAGCTCACAGACATGAATTCTTCTTCTGTTATCCTTATTTATTGTCCAGCTCTCAGATGCATATGAAGACACAACACTGTGAAAAGTACAGTCTTACCAAAATGAAAATTCATGTTCAGCACAATCCCAAAACAGACACCAAACTAATTTTTCAAGGAGATTGTAAAAAAAAAGAGGCAGTTTGCAGTTTTATTTCAAAAAGAAAGAGACCTTGAATAAAAAAAAACTTAAAAATAAATGGAAGGCATTGCACTCCCTCATCTCAAAACCTATTACAAAGCTGTTGTACCTCAGTGGCAGATATTGGTACAGTGACAGACACAAAGCCAATAGAATAGAATTGAGGACTTAAAATCAACCCATCTACTAACAGCCAACTCTTATTTGATAAGAAAACAAACTTTATTAAATAGGGAAATGACAACCTTGCCAACAAATTGTGTTAGCAAAACTGGACATTTGCCTATAGAAATCTGAAACAGGATTCACATCTTACACCATAAAAAAAGAAAATTAAAAAAACAACAATACACAAAACAACTGATGGTAGATCACAGAGAGACCTAGAAGTAAAACCCAAAACATTGTGCACAAACTTAGAAGCCTATGGCAGAAAAAGGGTTACAAATACAGGCAAAAATGCAGAACCAAGAGAGGATAAAATCAGTGAATTAGAACTTTTAAAAACAAATCCCTGTATGCATAAAAACCTTTTCCAATAGGGAAAAAAGAAAGTCCACAGACTGGAGAAAAACATATGGCAATGACATTTCAGATAACTAAAGTTTACAGGATATTACAGTACCTCCACAAGAAAAAGACCTATAACCCAATTATAAAATGGGCAAAAAACATTAAAATAACTCTTCTCAAAGGAAAACATATGAATGGCTAACAGACACATGCAGAAATGCTCAAAATCACTAGAAATCAGAGACATGTAAATCAAAACAACGAGATACCATCTCACTCTAGTAGCAGTAGCAAATTAGGACAGTATGAAATAAATGTTGGAGAGAATGCAGAGAAATTGGAATTCTCATGCAGTGCCAGTGGGACTGTAAAACAGAACAACCAATATGGAAGGTAGCTGGCATTTCCTAAAAAAACTGAACACAAATCCCATATGACTCAGTCATTCCACTACTGGGAATACACTCCAAGGAAATCAGAGCTGACATGCTTAGAGGTATGCACACCTACGTTCATGGACATATTATTCACAATAGCAGAAAAATGGAAATAACTCAAATGCTCAGCAACAAAAAAATTGATAGGAAAATGGTGGCATATTCACACAACTGATATTATTTATGTAGCTCTAAAGAAAAATGAAGTATTCTTAAAGCATGAAATAACATAGGAGAGTCTAGACAACATTATGTTCAGTGAAAGAATTCAGTTACAAAAGAGCAGATATTGCAGTAGCCTGAGAAAACAGGATGGTGAGAGGTGGCAAAGAAAAGAAGAACAGAAATGGAATAGGTACATAACACTATGAGGACCAAGACAGGGGAAGATCAATCTGGGGAGAATTGAAATAAAGACAATAGTGATATTGTAAAAAGGAAAAAAAAAGATAGATTAGATAGATAGATGATAGATGTTGTTGATTGCCTTCAAGTTGACCATGACTCATAGTGACCCTATGAACAAAAGGCCAGAAGCCCGTCTACAACTATCAACATTTATCAAAGTTCATAGAGTTTCTAGAAGCATGTTGTTTGGGAGTTGGATGTCCTCCTGCTTCCAAATAAACACACACATACATACACATAACTCTTTAGAAGAGAAACAGGAAAAGGGGTGTGGAAGAAGGACAAAGAAAGAAGTCACTAGGACAGCAGAGACTAGGAGGGGGATGAAGGACTGAAGAGATTGGTAAAGTATACAAGGACTTGAAGAGATAGGGAAATAAAAGTAATAGATCAATTGTTGTTACTGTTGTTGTTGTGTGCTGTCAAGAACATTTGATTTTGCTTATATAAATACTTGGACCAGGAGGCAGTTGTCAGAAAAGAGCAAGGAAACACCGCATGGTTCAAAATCGGGAAGGGTGTATGTCAGGGATGGGTCCTATCTCCATACTTTTTCAATTGATATGCAGAACAGATCATTTGGGAGGCTGGGCAGTATGAGGAGAAATGTGACATCAGGATTGGAGGTAGATTCTTCAACAACCTGTGTTATGCTGATAACACAACCCTGCTTGCTGAAACTGAGGAGGACCTGAAGCATTAGCTGCAGAGGGTCAAGGACTGCAGCCGTAAGTATGGATTGAAGCTCAACATTAAGAAACCAAAGATTCTCATCACTGGACCAACTGGCAGCATCACAATAGATGGTGAAGAGATTGAGATTGTTAAGAGCTTTAGTTTGCTTGGCTCCACAATCAACAACAATAGATCAATAGTAATATATAAAACACAGTGTGCAGAAATGATTGTATAAAAATGTACATGAATGAAAAATGTTTATGACTTGATTGTATAAAAGTGAATGATGATCTAAATAAAAAGTTTCTAAAGTTAATCTATATAAGATTCTCATCACTGGGCCAATTGGTAGTACCATGATAGATGGAGAAGAGAATGAGATTATTAACAATTTCACCTTACTCGGGTCCACAACACTCTTGGAACCAGCAGTCAGGAAATCAAAAGAGGAATTGGATTTGGAAAGTCTACAGTCAGGGACCTTTGCAGAGTGCAGAAGTGCCAAGATGTCAGTCTAGAGACTAAAGTGTGCCTTCACACTTACTTACCATGCATCACAAGAAAGAGGACCAGAGAAAAATTGATGCCTTTGAAGCATGGTTCTAGAGAAGAGTATTGCCAAGAGAACAAACAGGTCTGTCCTGGAGAGGGTGCAACCAAGTTCCTATGTAGAGGGAAGACTTTGAAGTTCCATCTCACATACTGTAGGCATGTTGGTAGGAGGGACCAATTCTTGAAGAACATCATGCTTGGAAGCGTGGAGGGACAGCAAAGGAGAGGAAGACCCTGGATGAGATGGATTGACACAGTGACTGGGGTAATGAGGGCAGGTGTGTCAGAAAGTGAGATTAGCTCAGAATAGGACAGGGTTCAGAGTTGTCATAAATAATGTTGCTATGAGTCTAGGTGACTTGAAAGCACATATCAACAACAATAATAATATTAACCTAAAATATTAATAGAATTGAATATTTTATGTGCAGCTACATTTGATTGTGGAAACCACCTAAAATATTTAAAGTTCTAATTACTCTAGCAAATGATGGTTTTTACCTGAAACATCATTGGTTCTGTGGCAGATGAAAAGTTTAGTGATTTGGATAACTGTACTTCAGGATCATACTTTTTCAAATAGGCCTTGATCATTACTGTTTTGGCAGTTCCCTGTTCTCCTGTGAGCAAAACAGCCTGCAATCAGAGAATAATTATGTTGAAAAATCGTAATAGGTTTGTTTTCAGTATTACATAAGTATACTGACTATTCATATATTCCATCAAGTAACAGGACTAATTTTTAATTATTTTAAAAGATAAATTCTAGCAGATGTAAGTGGAAAATGCATACCATAAAAATAATGGAAGAAAATAATGCTACCTTGAGAGTTATGTGGAAGGACTTTATAAGCAGATCTGTCTACTTTTCTAAGCAAGCTGAGAGTCAGTAGTTGTGTGGATATTAAGATAAATGTCTCTTATGACAGAAGGAATTTTGGGTGACAACTCACAGCATGTTTTGGTACTAACTTACAGGTCAGGGGTTCAAATCCCATAGTTGCTCTGTAGAAGAAAAATTAGTAATCTTTTTCCATTGAGATTCATAGGCTCTTAAACCCTATGGAGGGGTGCTATGAGTTGCAACTTATTCAAAGGTAGTTTTATTTGATTATCTTAGGACATGGTTCATTTGCCAAAAGTATTTCTCTCAAATAACAACCTCTAGCCCTTTGTGCAAGGATTTAATTTTCCTATCTATAGTGTTTTGTTCTGTGGCTTGAACTCACTTAAAGAAGTAACTATTAAACTTACTTTATTTTGCTTTGCAATGGTGTCTATCAAAAAGTTTGTTCTAATATTGTCAACATTTGGAACCAAAATCGATGAATACTCTGGAACACTATCAGTTGGATAATAATATGGCTGGATTTTCTGATTCCAGTGCTCCCAATCACCTATTTAGTGTAGAAAAGTGCATCTCAATGAAACAGAATTCTTTGAAAGCTATAACAGGACACAAAAAATGCAATGATATAAACAATGAACAAAATCGCTTGAGCATTTAAAATATTTTCATTAAACCGGTCAAGGTATTTACTTGTATGATGCTCATAATATTTGATCATTTGGATTTGTTTAGCTTTTTTACAAAGTCAGCTGTTAAATTTTTAAGTAATTTACCTAAAATGAAATCAGAATCAGTGGGTTATAGTAAAACCAGTAATGTGATGTTGTCTCATAAGTAGCCTACATTACCTGAAAGCACAAGTGTCTTAACTATTGTGATACATAACACATGCGGCTACAAACCAAAAGGTCAGCAGTTCACATCCACCAGCCACTCCATGGGTAATCTCTCCTGATAAAGATTTATAGTCTTTACAAACCTTTTTCCATTTGAAGGATGGTCACTATGAGTCAGAACTGATTGAACTGCAGTGGGTTTGGGGGTTTGTTTGTTTTGGCTATAACAGAAATACTGTAAGTGGCAGATGGCTTTAACAAACAGAAATTTCTTCTCTCACCATTTAGAAGGCTACAAGTCTAAATTAGAAGTATTAGTTCTAAGGAAAGGCTTTCTCTCTGTGTCAGCTCTGGTGAAAGTCCCTGTCTCCTTTCAATATCTCTGGGTCCAATGCTCCTTGGAGATGTTCATGTGTCTCAGCTTCAATCTTCCCCCGGGTCTAGTGGGTTCTTACTGCAGGGACCCCAATTCCAAAGGAAACATTCTATTCCAGCCTGTCTTTGTCAGCAGTAGTGAAGTCCTTTCTCTGCTTATTTCTCTTTCATCTATTATGAAATAAAATTTGACACCCCAGGAAAATACCTGTGTTATTACATAGCTAAATTATATCATTACCTAACTGCCAAACCATTGCCAATCATGGCCCAGTCAGGATGGTACATATTGGGGGAGGGGGTACAATTCAATCATAATAATAAGACAGGTAAGACAGAACATGAGAAATAGGAAAAACATTCTGATCCCAACACTGACGTAATGAAGCCCAGATTCTGGACTTAATTGTTCTTGTTGCTGATTTTGGCTCCAAATCATGGTGGCCTTAAGCTAACTACCATTTTACTGACTGATATTGTTAATTTAAGCACTGTTATTACTATTACCATATGTCATGGATTGACTTGTGTGCCCATCAAAAAAAAATATATATATATATACTTGGCAGGATCATGATTTTGCTGTTGTTAGGTCTTGTCAAGTATAGCACATAGCAACCCTATGAACAACAGATCTGTACCCTGTCTTATCCTGTACCATCCTCACACTTCCTGACACACTAAAGCCCATGGTAGCAGTCACCGTGTCAATCCACCTGGTTGAGGGTCTTCCTCTCCTTTGCCAACCCTCTGTCTTTCCAAGTATGATCTCCCTCTCCAAGGAATAGCCTCTCCTAGCAACATGTCTGAAGTCTGAGACAAAACTTTATCATCTCTGCCTCCAAAGAGCACTCTGGCTGCACTTCCTCTAAGACAGATGTGATTATCCTTTCAACAGTCCATGAGATGTTCAGTACTCTTCTCCAACACCAGAGCTCTAAGACATCTATTCTTCTGTCATCTTTATTCATTGTCCAGTTCAGATACATAGCAACAGGTGATTGGAAATACCACGGTCTGAATCAGATAGACTGATAAAATATGGCAGTATGTAATCTAAGCCAAAGAACTATAAAGGGATTAGGATAGGATACAACATTTGTAATCCTATTATAGCACTAAGTTGATGAAAACTGGGAAGTGTCTCTTGGGTTTAGCCTGTAATACTTTTTCCCTCATAAGAGATAAAAAGAGAAAAACATTTCCCAGAGATTTCCCTCAATACTTGTTGGTTCCTTAGTAACATCAAGAAAAACATTTTTTAAAAAAGGAAGAATATAGAGGACCAGAGTTCATCCTTGGGGCTCAGAAGATCAGGAGTAAAGTGCATCCTTGAGATCCAGATCTCTGTGAGGGTAACCTTCTAGATACAGGAGAAGATTGATACCAAGACACTTATAGCTCATCCAAGAATATGGAGCCTACAGAAGCTGAAAGGAGACAAGAAGCTTCTCCAAAGCTGGTGGAGACAAAGTCATCGGCTGCAGATGGTGCCCAAAATTTAACTTCTAACCTCTTCAACTATGAGAGAATACATTCCTGTTTGCTACACCATCACTTGTGGTATTTCTGTTACTGCAGTGTTAGATAACTAAGATACTACATTTCATCAATCCCAAGAAATTTTTTCTTTTCGTTTAACATGTCTGGAAGGTGTTTCACAATCCACAGTGTCTTTCAATGACTGTTGACTAGGCAAACTTGATCAAAGATATTACTGCCATGTAAAATTTATTTACTTGTGTTTTTAGTACTATACTGTGTGGTTTAATTAACAGTTTAAGTGTCTTCAAAAAGATTACACTTTCAGAATTGTACTGAAAAAAGCTACTGTGTATTAAAAACACATGAAAAGAGACTAGAAACATATATTTTTTAATTATTA